GGCCTATTGATCTCAAAGTTGGTCATGACATAGATACACATGCCTGCTCCCGTAAAATGTTTTCAAAATTTTCCTAGGTCTTATGGTTTCTTGTCAGGGCCCTGAGACTGACGCTGGGTGTCTCACAAGTATAGAAACCAGGGAGAGAGCCAGCCCAGGTGCAGATAATTAATTACCATAGCAACGGGTCCTAGACAGAGGCAGTGAGTAGTCACAGCGCTGAATCAGATCTCACAATGCATTGTGGGAAGAATACATATTTCCTGTGACTATTCATATTTTGCTTACATAAAATTATTACTTGTCTGAATTTTGGAGTGTAAATTAAAATCTTTACTATGAAAATTGAAATTGTTTTTAGAAATTAACTATTACCAACTTTCTTCATGTTTTTTATTTTGGACCATGAGTGAGAACCACATGTGCGAAGCTTATAGTCGTCGGTCTCAGGCTGAATTTCACGGTGGATGGGGTTCAGCCACTGTAGTGGTGAACCCGGTCAGCTATAGCACTATGGTGATGGACCTGGTGGTGACCCATGTCAGACCTGTACAGATGTGTTCGCTGTGGCTAAAAATGCTAGGTCCAAATCGATGGGCACACTTCTGCAGGCCCTATTTAAATTTCTTCAGGAATTTTCTAGTTAAAATACTCTTCTTCTGATCAGTGTCATGAAGCGATTCCTATTACTCTTTGTTTAACAACAAATACACGTCCAGCAGCATCAGTTGCCTTGATCTTACATAAGGGTCACCTGCTTAACACCTATTTATTTCCTATAATCAATGACCTCTCTGATTGAACGCAGCACTGCTACTTTTTGAACACGCCCCTTTCAGTAAATGATTCAGTTTCACAGAATCAGCAGCATGAACATCAGGCCTGTTGGGTCTGCTGGTTTTCTAAACCTTTACTAAACTTCTAGAAACGTACTGAGGTGTAAAAGTTGAAAATCAAACAAAAACGGTGAACACAACTGTACGTCAGTATAGTCTTACCTGAAGCTTCTGCAGCCACAAAATGAGCAAAGTCCTAATCAATTCATGAGACAGTATGTATTATTGAGGTTGCTACATGTTTTTGTAAATTATGGCCAAAGCAAAATGAAAAATCTGTCAATCTCTTGAAGACCCAGAGGTCTTTGCAACATGCAGCTAACAGAAAATACTTTGTGTCTTGAGAGTTGCTGGAAGGTCCAGCTGCTGATTTGAAGACAAGTTCCTCCTGTCTTCCAGTAGCTAACTCTGGGCCCTTCAGTCCTTTCTGTTCACAACCAGCTGCCTGTAAATGTGGATGCCGTTAAAACCTCCAGCACAGCCGCTTCATAGAGCGTCTCGCTTTGCCTCCTTCAGGATGATGTGAGTCAGTTTACCTATGATGGCCAGGCTCAGATCCACTGGGTGTCCTTCCTGGATGGACGGCAGCGGGTGCTGCTGTTCACCGAGGACACTGGCGTGGTCACCAGGGCTCGGCAATCGGAGGAGCTCGAACAATTTCAGCAGGAACTGAAAGTGTCTCTGCAGAACCTCGGCCTGTCGCTCATCAACAACGGCAACCGGCAGGAGATCGCGTACATCGGCATCACCAGGTAAACTCCATGATGTTATCTGACTGAACAGTGGAGGCACAGATACCTCCAGAAACACATTAAAAAAACTTTTGAATCATTTTACGATAATTCTTGAAGCATTTTTAAAATAAATATGGTAATGCCACAACAAATATCCAGGCACTTTAAGCCTTTTCAGTCATTAGTTAGTCCTGAGCGTCCAGCGCTGCTGATGGAGTGACTCTGCTGCGGTTCTGCCTCACAGCTCCGGTGTGGTTTGGGAGTTTAAGCCAAAGAATCGCTGGAAGTCCTTCAGTCAGAAGAACATCAACCAGCTGGAGAAGGTTTACCAGAGTCAGCTGAGTGGGAAGACGGAGGGAGGCTGGGTCAGACTGGACAGCAACCTGGAGGTCAGAGGTCACCACAAGCGACTCAGTCAGGGGTCCATATGTGTTTATCTGACCCAGACTTCTGTCTGACGAGATGACTGTAAGTTTATGATGTCACCCGTTGCTAGGTGAACCTCCGTCCAGCTATCATGATGATGCGGCAACCCCATTCGTGCCCTGTGAGGAGGAACTTCCTGTCTGGGATCCAGGTGGAGTTCAAGAGGTCACTGCACCAGCGCAGCCTGAGAGCCCAACTGCACTGGCTGCAGGTAAACGTTCACACACCTGGACACACACTTGGACTGAAGCTCACTCTCCTAGACTCAAACACTGGTTTATTGATTACAGGTGGACAACCAGTTGCCCGGTGCGGTTTTCCCCATCATCTTCCATCCAGTCCCTCCACCAAAGTCCATCGCTCTGGACTCAGGTGTGTCCTTCTATTCCCATTAAGCCTCAAACTTACTACAGAGAGTCTAACTGTGAGTTCTGCCTCCTCAGAGCCGAAACCCTTCATCGATGTGTCTGTCATCACAAGGTTCAACCAGCACAGCAACGTCACCCAGATTAAGTAAGAACCACAGCAGGGAACCAGGTTCTGTGAGTGAGACCTGGATTCAGGTGAGTCTTCTAACCTTCCTGTGTGCTTCAGGTACTTCATGGCTCTAGTTCAGGAGATGGCGTTGAAGATCGACCAAGGTTTCCTTGATGCTGTTGCAGCTCTGTTCAGCCCAGCTGCTAACCTGCAGAATGATGGGAAGAAGGTGAAGAAAAGCAGAAACTGGATATTTTCCCTAATCTTCACAGATGAGATGTTGCTTTGAGCTGTTTGTGTTTCAGTCGGGACTCATCGAAGGAGATCTGAAGCGCCTTCAGGCCGAGCCGACTGACGCCTCTCTGTCCGACGTGTCGGGACTCAGCTTCTTCGAGCATTTTCACATCTCACCTGTCAAGGTAACTTCAGTCCTGCTCTCTTTGCTGGATGAGACTGAATTCATCTAATATGTTATGAACCTCCAACCTGAGAGTTGTTTCTGGAGGCTGTCCAGACGGTTGTGCAGAAAGCCCTCACTGGTCCCGCTTTGCCTTCCAGCTCCACCTCAGTCTGTCTCTGGGCTCCAGCGATGGTGACTCTGTCCAGGAGAACCCCATTACTCAGTCCCTGAACCTGGTGCTGAAGAGCATCGGTGCTACTCTGACCAACGTTGACGATATCATCTTCAAGTAAGAAGTATCCTCTGTTTGCGCAGAAATGGCTGCTGAAGTAGTTTCTTTGTCCGGATGTTGATTCTCCTCTGCGTTTCTGTCAGACTGGCCTTCTTTGAAGTGAGGTACCAGTTCTACAGCAAAGAGAATCTGATGTGGGCCGTGGGCCGACACTACTCTGAAGAGGTAACATCGTTGCCCGTCCTTAGCCTGATCCTCTAACTGTCCAGCCTGGGATGTTGGGTCGGCTCCTGCCAAAGTGTGTGTTGTGAACTTCTGGACTTCTGATCTTTCTGCAGTTCCTTAAGCAGATGTATGTTCTGGTTCTCGGCCTGGATGTGCTGGGTAATCCGTTCGGAGTGATCCGAGGCCTCTCCCAAGGCGTGGAAGCCTTCTTTTATGAACCATTCCAGGTAAAACATCTAGTTTATCGCGAGATCCACATGAAACCCGACCCAGGTGGAGGTTCTGATGGAAGCGGGTTCTGTGTGTTTGCCAGGGAGCCGTTCAGGGTCCAGAGGAGTTTGCTGAAGGTTTGGCGATCGGGGTCCGCAGCCTTTTTGGTTCAACTGTTGGTAAGAGCCTTGGAGAAAGATGTTGATTTAACTTGTGACGGGTCCTGATTTCTGAGGTTGGTGCTTCCAACATGGGTGTTTCTCCTGTAGGTGGCGCTGCAGGAATGTTCTCCAAGATCACAGGTTCCATGGGTAAAGGCCTGGCTGCCATGACCATGGACAAGGAGTTCCAGCAGGAACGCCGGGAGGACATAAACCGGCCAACGAAGGACTTCAAAGACAGTCTGGCCAAAGGAGGAAAAGGACTGCTGAAGGTCTGGAGAGGAACGGTTCTGGTTCTGCTGGACCAGCAGTGATCTGATGCATCTCAGTAACAAACCGTGTTTCTGCAGGGCGTTGTTGGTGGGGTTACTGGCATTGTCACCAAACCAGTGGAAGGTATGTGTTTGATGGCTCCTATTTGTTGGAAACACAAAGTTCAAGTCATTTTCAGGAGAACAGAAACAAATTTAGGATTTCTGACCCTAAATAAAAGAAAATACAAGTTTTATGAAAGATTAAAGAATGAATTAAAGCTTTGAACTGTTCTCCGTGAAATCCCAGAAACACTTGTTTTCTGATTGACACCTGACTTATTCCTGATCCGGATCTTTTAGATCTGGATTCTGGAAACCCTTCAGGTTCTTTAAAACCATCTGAACTTCCAGGGTCATGACCTGTTAGATGATGTAATCTTCTGGATTATTTGATCCAGATTCTGAAAATATAATATTCCCTGTCACTTCAAATAATAGTAATAAATAAAACAGCAACTTTAGAAGTATTAAATGATTTAATCTGTTTTGTAGGTAAAAATTCAACACTGCAGCACTTTTTATTGACTTATCAAAAGCCTTTTTATTCAGCTGATTACGAAATGTTACTGAAAAGTCTCTCTACATCGGACTCTCTCCAATCAGTTGGTTTAAAAACAAACTGTCTGGCAGGTCACAGTGTGTGCAGGTGGAAGGTCTTCCTTCCACCTGCCTTTAAGTATCCAGGGGTGTTCCACCAGGTTCTGTCCTAGGTCCCCTTCTTTTTATAATCTATATTAACAGTTTCAATAAAAATCTCCCAAATGCTAATTGTTGTTGCTGTTTTATGCTGCAATACAGTTAAAAGTTCATCAAGCAGCTTTTGATGAGGTTGTGTGTAATGTAAAGTTTGTTTTAAACACTCAGATATCGAAAGTAAAGTTTATTCCTCCATCATTACTGTTCAGGCATCGGATCGAGGCTCAGAATAAATTTTTAGGTTTTGTAATTGATTTCCTGGGCTTTGTTCCCCACAGCTTGTGAAAAAGTTCAAGTTGGGTTTTTATTTCAGAATTCGATTTTATCATTTGAGGCTAGGAAACGTCTTGTTGCTGCCACTTTTTGCCCATTTTCGATTATTGTGACGTGAATTTTATGCTTGTATGTTTGGCCTGTTTGCATAAGCTGCATTCTGGATCTTATGGAGCGTTTTGCTTTATCACAGGTGGACAGCGTTCCCCTCTGCTTTTATCCAATAAGCCATCTTGGGTTTTACTGCCCGTCTCTCTTGTCCCTCATTGTCACAACATTCCCAGGCAGTTATGGATGATTTAACTTTATTAACTGTTTCTAATGTTCACACTGAAAATCCTGCAGAAAAACTTTAAGTTGAATTAGATGGTTTTTAAGGCCTCGGCTTGTAAATAAGGCTTTTTTTTGGTAAATGCTTTGATTAACATGAATTTGTATTCTAATCCTATTTTCACTGCCTGTGCTGTTATTTTTCTTATTTGTTGTATTTTCTTTTGGTTTTGATTTGTGATTCTGAATGTTGCTGCCAGTCCTGATTTCTCTTGAAAAATAGATTTTTAATCTCCTTGAGATGGAGACACCTGGCTAAATATAGATTACATACAACATCAGTCTTGTTTAGCAGATCCACCTGACCGTGTTCCGTCGACCCGTCAGAACCTCATGGATCGGGTCCAGATCACTGAAACCCTCCTGATTATTCACATCTTTGACCCAAAACTCTCTGCTTTATTTTTAGCAGATCCTCGAAACCAAACCGCTCAGAACCTCTGGCTGCCGACTCACACCTGGTTGCCTGTTGCCATCTGAAGCCAGCCTGTGTTTCTGTCCGCAGGAGCCAAGAAGGAGGGCGCGGCCGGTTTCTTTAAGGGCATCGGGAAGGGCCTGGTGGGCGTGGTGGCGCGGCCCACCGGCGGCATCGTGGACATGGCCAGCAGCACCTTGCAGGGCATCCAGAGGTGAGGTTCGGCGGCTCGTGAAGCGGTTCCTCTGGGAACTTCCTGTGGGCGTCTAAATGTTGTTGTTGTCTCTAATTTTCACATTTTTCTGCTTTTGTTTTCTGTCTGCTGTGGTTGTTGGGATTTCTGTTCTTTGTGTTCTTCGCTGTTTGGGGTGTGAGTATCCCACCTGAACTGTTGGAGCTGTGCTCTGTCCATCGCTGCTGTTCAATCAAGTTGCTGTTTGACTTGATGCTGGAGCTTTAACCAGCTGCAGATGTTTGCATGTTAAGTGATGCTGCACACTGACAGTAAGTCACAGCATCGTGTTTTGTGCACCGGGTCCAACTCGCCGCTTGTGGCTCCGCCCCTCTGTCAGCATGTTGTTTGGCCACGCCCCCTTGAGGAGAACTTCCTGTCCCGCCTGCCGGAGCACAACGACAACTGCATGAAAACTTGTCGGCGCCTTTTCTTCTTCGTTGACTTCCCTACGAATTAAAACCATCGACTGAAACGAGGCTGAAATGCTCCTGGACGACCCGATGGATGGTCCGATGTTCACTGCAGTCAGAACCGGTGTTGGTCTGACCTCAGGGGACGGCGGTCCGACGGGTCTGAATGGTTCTGATTGGTTCTGGGTTGCATGGTTCTCACTAACAGCTGCTAAGTCTGTTGCCATTTTGCGGAACTACTAAAAGTTTTGGTGCATAAATGTTTATGGAGCTTCTGAGGAGTTTCTGTTTTCAAATTAAATCTTGAGATTTTGTGCAAATGAATTTAAATGTTGATAAAAAATAATGATGATGTCAAAGTGAACAAGTTCCCACTGAGATCAGATGGAAGGAGCTGAAATAATGGCTCCTCTCCTGGTTGGAGGGGCCATCTGTCATGTGACCCATAAATAACCTGTTGAAGTTTCACGCTGCCCCTGCAGAGGCCCCACCAGGTGAGCCCTTACCTGAGAGCAGCAGCTGCAGCATGACTGGGCTCGGCTCAGAGTCTGGATCAGAACCGTCAGTCCGCTTGAGCAGGGCTGCGACTCCACACCACTCTGAACCGCTCATTCAAGTGTGTGTGTGTGTGTGTGTGTGTGTCAGAGCGGCCGAGGCGACAGAGGAGGTGACCAAACTCCGGCCGGCCCGTCTGATCCGGGAGGACGGGATCATCCGACCTTATGACCTGATGGAGTCGCAGGGTTTCGACCTCTACCAGGTTAGACTCTTCTCTGTTTCCATAGCAACATGGCATGTTTTCCTGCATGAGGTTAAAGGTCAGAGGGAACCTAGAGGAGCAGACGGTCTGATCTGCCACACTAACATCTGGTGTGTACCGACACTTTAACTGGGTCAAAAGGTTCCTTCT